GTTTTAGGACTGAATTTAGTTAGTTTCTTTTAAATAATGGACTAGACCTTATTCCTACTCCTTTACCCTTGCGTAATCGCAAAGGCTAGCAATAACGTGCCAGACCAGGCTGAAATTGCACGAAATTCGGGCCGGGTTTTCGGCTGGCCTGGACGCTATTTTTACAGCTGCAAGCAATCGTTCATGTAACCGGCTAGAAATTCTACGGAGGCCGATCACGGCATAGTAGAAAGAGCCCATAAACGTCAACAAACAGATTACAGAAAGAAGCAATGTTTATATGAATCCTTCGATGGAATGTATCTTAGCTCTGGAATCCCGTTTCGGACACGGCAAGCCTTTGTGGAAAATGGATGAGGGCGCTAGTACAGACAATAAGATGACCCCAAAATAATGCCTTCGCGAACCGAATCGCAAATTAATTGTATACTGTCAATTTCTCTTCTATTAAGGAAGTTGGTGGCACATGAATTCGGCGGTTTGTAAAAAAGCCTGGAATTTAATAGCAGAGACATAAAACAGTGCCGGAATCTATTTAGAAAGTGTGAAACACGAAAACGCAAAAATCAAAATCGCTCTATAATATTGACTTCAGGAGTCAACGCACCCGATTAAGAATAAAAACGGAAATGCTTTCTGGGCTGGAGTCCGTTTTCAAACGATTTTGTACCATCCTAGATTTCGAAAAAGTGTAATTTTCTCTAAAGGAATGTGTAGGGGGGACCCCTGGGCACACTTAATTAGCGCCGCGAATGATTCGGCCCACAGGCTGTCTCATCCCAATTGATTTCAGGAGTCAACGCACCCGATTAGGAATAAAAACGGGAATGTCGCTTTCTGAGCTAAAAGTTGTTTTCAAATGATTTTGTACCATCCTAGATAACAAAAAAAAATACTTTTCTCTTCAGGAATGTGTAGGGGGAACCCTGGGCACACTTAATTAGCAGCCCGAATGATTTAGTCCACAGGCTATCTCACTCCAATTGATTTCAGGAGTCAACGTACAATTTCGCTCTTTGCACTGCACGAATCGTTACGTATGCTGTCAAATCTTTGCTTTTGTCACTATCTTTGATTATGTAAGGAGCGCATTTGACGGCAGTAAAATTAACGTCATTGTGAAATACCGAGAATTACATTTCGTTTAGCCGTAGGTTCCCAGACTCGTTTCATTTCATGGCAGCTTCCCTCGATCGATTGGTTAAAAATTGTTCTCACGAAGATTTCAACCTGCTTCGCAAAAGGTTCTCAGAAAACACGGACCTACTGCTAGAAAAGGGAATTTACCCTTAATACGAATATGTCGATTCCTTCGATAGATTTTTAAAAATGCAACTGCCTCCTCGAGCTGCGTTTTACTGCTCGTTGAGGCAGCAGTCTGTTACAGAGGAAGAATATGAAAGGGCCCAAAATGTATGGCAAGCGTTTGACTGTTAAAATCTCGGGGACTATACGATTTATAAGTCGATACGGACACTTTGTTGCTAGCGGACGTATTTAAAAACTTTCGCCAAGAGGTTAAAAGAACTACAGTTGACCCGGCCAATTATTGTACGTCTCCGGCGCTATCGTGGACACTCTGGCGTGGAATTGGAGCTGCTGACAAACATCAACAAGCATCCATTCTTCAAAAGGGCTAAAAGAGGCGGAATTCTGAGCGTAGGGGTAAAGCGCTATGCCAAAGCTAACAATCCAAATTTAAAAGACTTCGATCCAAATATTTCGACGTCTTATATCATGTGTCTGGACGCAAATAATAACTTGTACGGTTGGGCCATGAGTCAGCCTTTACCCGCCAAAAGCTTACGATGGGTTCAAGACACGACTGTTGCAGTTTCTGCGCGACTGCCGATAAGCCTAGCTCTGTGGTCACTGACGCCCCCGAAATGATAGTTAGACTTGCGACACAAATTCGCCTGTCACCGTGGGATGTTGACTCCGTTTAATCTATGATATAAATCAATCAATATAATTTTCAAAACAAGGTTTGTAACATAACATTCTGAAATATCCGTGTTATACTAAGTCATGTATACAATATGCAACGTAAATTGACCCAGCATTACAAAGCACATGGTTACAAAACCGCTTACACTTTGGCAGAAATTACAGCAAAATAATCACACTTATAAACTTTAGTAGTATAAAGATTAACTCACGGCTCTGCCGAAATTATAGGCTATCACCAGCAGCAGAACTGCAGCTTCAAATCAGTCATTTAACAATGTTAATTCAGGCTTACATCGTCAACGCTTTCTGCTGCAATACCCAACAATGAGAAAACAAATGTCGAGCATGATTCACATCTCAGGAGTTGTGGTTAAAGCCGTGTGTCTAAACCCACACACGTGTATACATTATACATGTACAGACAGCATGATGCACTCACCGTGACCTAGGTAAGTATACACTTTCGACGCCCAGGCCGAGAACTGGTGCCTCGATAGACCATGCCTACAGATGAATAAATCATGCACCTAAGGCCAAAGGTAAACCTAATACAGTTTGACAATGTGCGCCTGCATTACATCCCGGCCCCTTAAATGACCCCACATCTTAGGTACATTTACAACATTCAATAAGTAATCAGGCGCCTGTGCTATAAACAGCAAACTACAAACTTTAACTTGAAACATCAAACTTATAAATAGCAGCTTCACTATTAGCCAAATTNATTTTAGGACTGAATTTATTTAGTTTCTTTAGAATAATGGACTAGACCTTATTGCTGCTCCTTTACCCTTGCGTAATCGCAAAGCTAGCAATAACGTGCCGAACCAGGCTGAAATTGCACGAAACTCGGGCCAGGTTTTCGGCTGGCCTGGACGCTATTTTTACAGCTGCAAGCAATCGTTCATGTAACCGGCTAGAAATTCTACGGAGGCCGATCACGGCATAGTAGAAAGAGCCCATAAACGTCAACAAACAAATTACAGAAAGAAGCAATGTTTATATGAATCCTTCGATGGAATGTATCTTAGCTATGAAACAACGTGAACAACTGAGAATTTTTCCCCAACAGGAAAAAAGACCGGAATGTATACGAAAACACACTAAGGCTGCATCCGAATCTGTTGTCTAGAGCTAGGTCTTCACTCCAATGAAAGTACGCAGAGACACGCAGACTATAGACCTAGCCGTAGCTCTGGAATCCCGTTTCGGACACGCCGTAAGCCTTTGTGGAAAATCCGGGATGAGGGCGCTAGTACAGACAATATGATGACCCCAAATAATGTCTTCGCGAACCGAATCGCAATTTGTATTCTATACAATTTCTCTTCTATTAAGGAAGTTGGTGGCACATGAATTCGGCGGTTTGTAAAGAAGCCTGGAATTTAATAGCAGAGATATAAAACAGTGCCGGCATCTATTTAGAAAGTGTGAAACACGAAAACGCAAAAAATAAAATCGCTCTATAATATTGACTTCAGGAGTCAACGCACCCGATTAGGAATAAAAACGGGAATGTCGCTTTCTGGGCGGGAGTCCGTTTTCAAACGATTTTGTACCATCCTAGATTTCGAAAAAGTGTAATTTTCTCTAAAGGAATGTGTAGGGGGGACCCCTTGGCACACTTAATTAGCGCCCCGAATGATTCGGCCCACAGGCTGTCTCATCCCAATTGATTTCATGAGTCAACGCACCCGATTAGGAATAAAAACGGGAATGTCGCTTTCTGGGCTAAATTTTAAATTTTGGCAGCTTCCCTCGATCGATTGGTTAAAAATCGTTCTCACGAAGATTTCAACCTGCTTCGCGAAAGGTTCTCAGAAAACACGGACCTACTGCTAGAAAAGGGAATTTACCCTTAATACGAATATGTCGATTCCTTCGATAGATTTTTAAAAATGCAACTGCCTCCTCTAGCTGTGTTTTACTGCTCGTTGAGGCAGCAGTCTGTTTCAGAGGAAGAACATGAAAGGGCCCAAAATGTATGGCAAGCGTTTGACTGTCAAAATCTCGGGGACTATACGATTTATACGTCGAGACAGACACTTTGTTGCTAGCGGGCGTATTTAAAAACTTTCGCCAAGAGGTAAAAAGAACAACAGTTTAGACCCGGCCAATTATTATACGTCTCCGGCGCTATCGTGGACACTCTGGCGTGGGATTGGAGCTGCTGACAAACATCTACAAGCATCTATTCTTCGAAAGGGCTGAAAGAGGCGGAATTCTGAGTGTAGGGGCAAAGCGCTATACCAAAGCTAATAATCCAGATTTAAAAGACTAAGATCCAAATATTCCGACGTCTTATATCATGTGTCTGGACGCAAATAATAACTTGTACGGTTGGGCCATGAGTCAGCCTTTACCCGCCAAAAGCTTTCGATGGGTTCAAGACACGACCAAATTTACTCCAGAGTATATCGCGAACCTTTCACCAAAAGCGTCCAAGGGCTATATATTCGAAGTCACTTTTGAATATTCGAAAAATTTACACGATAAACACAACAACTTTTCACTGGCACCTGAAAATATCGGTTCCCAACGACTGGCTCTCAGACTACCAAAATGGTTTGAAAGAAAACGGAGAGAGGAATTCTTCTATAGATAAACTCGTATCCACTTTGGGCACGAAACACAAATATGTCGTGCACTATGGAACGTTGCAAAACTATCTAGAATTAGGACTAGATTTAAAAGAGGTGCACCGGGTAATCTCGTTTAAACAGGCGCCTTGGATGAAAAGTTACATTGATAAAAATACCGAGTTGAGAAAATTAGCAAAGTTCGATTTCGAAAAAGACTTTTTTTAAATTAATGAATAATTTGGTCTTTGATAAAACGATGGAAAATGTTAGATATTGAATCGACGGGCATTTGTTGAGAGATTTTCAAGACGCCGATAAATTCAAAAA